ATGTGGGATCCGAACCGGGGCCCTCTGGCATCCCAAGCGAGTTCTTAACCATCGCGCCACTCGGCCGGCCCGGGTTTATCTTGTTTGGGACTCTGTGCTTCCTGGGCTTGTATGTCTATTTCCTTCACCAGGTTAGGGCAGTTTTCTGTCATTATTTCTTCAAATAGGTTTTCAATTCCTTGCTCTCTGTCTTTTCCTTCTGGTACCCCTCCCTATAATGCAAATGTTGGTATGCTTAATATTGTCCCAGAGGCCCCTTAAACTCTCCTCAATTTTTTGGATTCTTTTCTTTTTTTGCTGTTCTAGTTGGGTGTTTTTTGCTACCTTATTTTCTACATCATTGGTTTGATCCTCCGCTTCATCTAATCTACTGTTGATTCCCTGTAATACATTCTTCATTTCTGTTATTGTATCCTTTATGTATGACTGGTTCTTTTTTATGGTTTTCATATCTCTGTTGAAGTTCTCCCTGAGATCGCTGAGCATTCTTATAACCAGTGTTTGGAACTCTGCTTCTGATAGATTGCTTATCTCTGTTTAGCTTAGTTCTTTTTCTGGAGCTTTGTTCTGTTCTTCTATTTAGGACATGTTTCTTTGTCTCCCCATTTTGGCTGCCTCTCTGTGTTTGTTTCTATGTATTAGGTAGGGCTGCTATGTCTTCCGGTCTTAAGTAGAGTGGCATTGTGTAGTAGATGGGCTGTGGGGTTCAGTGGTGCAGTCTTTCTGGTCAGCTGAGCCACGTGCTCCAATTGTGTCCTTTGTGTGGGCTGTGTTGGCCCTCCTCTTGTAGTTGAGCCTTGGTTGATAATTGCACATCATTGGGAAGGACTGACCCTTGGACTCACTGATTGTGAGGCCTGGCCTTGACTACAGTGGAAAAGCTGTTGTGCAGGGGCTGATCCTACAGAGCAGGACCCGCCTTAGCAGGACTCTGATGTCTGCCCGATGCACCCTGTGGGTGTGTCGTACTTGGAGGTGGCTGAATGATGCTCCAGCTTGTTTTGAAGCTGACCACTGGGGGCACCAACCTCAGGACCACCTTGGAGGGGATCCGCTGTAAGTCTAATTCAACCACAGCCCATGCCCCACCCGGGGCCACTCAGTGGGAGCCAGAAAGAAATCTACAGATGACTGCCACCTGTACTGTGCTCAGAAGTGCCTTGAGAGGCCAAAACGCAAACCAAGGCTGGCTGCCACTAGTGGCGGCTTAGGGCTGCTCAGCCAGAGGTACAGGACACGCTCAAGCCAAATGCTGCTTGTCTGGGTTCTGGAAACCTTTGAGACACCCTAGGAAAGTCTGCAACTTGAGTCAAAGCTGGCAGTCTGCACGAAAAAGCCACTGAAAGCATGCAGGATGTGCCCAAAAGTTGGGAGGGGTGGGGTCTCAAATCATCAGGGCGTGGGGAACAAATAGGGGAGACTCAGGTACAGCAGCTGCCTGTGTTCACATATCAGCAAGGGGGAGAGCTCAACAAAGAAACAATGGCCTCTGCCAGCTCCTCCATCCAGGAGAAAGCCGCCTCTCCAGCCCCCGTCCCAAGCCAGACAACTCAGCTCCTCACCATATGTCACTGCTGCCCCTCCAGCTGCTGCTCCAGTGCTGGGGCTCAGAGCCAGTGATTCCGTTGATGGGTAAGTCCACACAGTTCCTTTAAGAGAAGCACCTGGGAGTGCAGCCGCCCTCCGTCTTACTCAGTCACAATCTCTGCTGGTTTTCACAAATACAAATTATGGAGACTTTTCTCCCTGGCACTGAAACACTGGGCTAGGGTAGGGCTGGGATCTCTCACTCCTCTAGAGGATGGGGGAGTGGGGAGGCCCCACAGCCGAAATAGCCCTCCTGATCTTTAATGGTCACACATGGGTGTGGGACCAACCTGTTCCACCTCTCTGACCTTCCTATCAGTCTGGAGGTGGCTTCTTCTGCACATTGTTAATGGAAAGGCTTCAGTTCAGCTTGATTACAGGCAATTCTCAATACTGGTTGTTTTGTAGATTAGTTGTCATTTTGATGTGGTTGTGAGAGAAGCTAAACACAGTGTTTACCTACTGCGCTATCTTGGTTGTTCTACAATATGATCTTAATGTAACTTTCCATGCTTATATCTTGTGGTCATTTTTCATAAACGTTATAGTTCAATCAAACTGGGACACAGGGCCCAGAATAGGCCTGGGCATTCCTCACTTTCTTCTCTTTTTAGAATGGCCTTTCCGTTCTTCATCCTCACACACTGAATAATCCAGTTAAAGCCTTCTTTCAAGGCCCAGTGGGAAAACCATAACTTCTAAGAAGATTTTCTACACTCTAAATGGTTTCTGAACTTCCATTGTACATTTTTGTTTCATCAATTGTTATTTTAGTTATCTGGATTCATATACTGTCCTCTGATTGACTTAGGGCAAGAAGCAACTAGTATACGTATGTGTTATTTGGGTTTCTCTTACCAGAAGTAGAGAATGAGACAAGGGCTTTGTGTGCAGATAACTTATTTGTACATGTAATCACAGGGCTTCAGAGTGAGGGAACTGAGAACAAAACAAAGAAGAAAGGAAAGCCAATCCAAGAGTGAATTATTGAGCTGGTTACTCCCATGGGTAAGTAAGGTTCAATCCTGTCGGGGCTCTTTGAGGCATGGTATAGAATATGCCTCAATTTTTTTTAAACTTGAGATGTAATTGACATATTATATTAGCCTCAGATATACAACATAATGATTTGATATACAAAGGGTGTCAAAAAAAGTATACACATTTTAGGAAAGGAAAAAACTGTATTAAAATTGTGATAATATATACCGAGATCAAAAGATGAATACAAGTCACATTTGACTTACGCAATTACAAGAGGTGCTCCAAGTGGTTACCATCAGTGAAATTTTAATACAAATAAATTTTTTCCTTTCTTAAAATGTATATATATATATATGGCACCCTCTGTGTATCAAAATGATCACCACAATAAGTCTAGGTAAGATCCATAACTGGACTATGCCTAATTTTTTTTTTTAACCTCAAAATAAAAGAGAGGAATATTTATCTAATGGCTTCCCCTAAGTGGTTAAGGACCTCCTCAGGAGATATCTCTGGCATTTCCAGTTTTGTTCATATACCAGAATGATTGAACAAGCGTCTACAAACATTTTTTGCAGTGATATTAGTGAAGGCACGGGGTGTAAAGTGAGACAGACATGGAGCAGCTATGACAAGATGCTGTCAGGCTACAAATGCCCAAAGCTGGCTGCCAGAGTAAAAGGGTAGACAGAGAGAGTATTTGATGTGTATGAAAAATATCTAATAAAACATAGCTGCAAAAAATCTAATGTAGCCCATTTCTTGCACTGCTCCAATATGCTCATGCCTCATTATAATAGTTCCTCAAAGATTGGTAGGGATGCTGTGTACAGTAACAGTACACATGGAATATATTCTTCCTTTTAATCAGAAGAACAAAGGCTCTTGTGCACACCTGTTCAGACAACTAGAATCTCAGCCAGATCTCCTGCCACAGAAAAGCAGACTCAAAATTTCTATTTGGCCTAAGATGTAACACACTCTTGAATGAGTTCCCCCAGAGGCAGACCCTGAGACAAGCATTCAACTACAAATCATTTATTTCAGATGTGATCTCTGGACACACCCTTGGAGGAATGAGGATATGAGACAATAATAGAAAAGAGGCCCATAGTAAATGCATTATCAAGTTGTTTCTACTGTGGAGAATCAGAATTCTATCGTACTGGGGAACTCAGGAAGAATGTAAAGTACACCCCCAGATTTATCCCCCCAAACAGGCAAGAAAGTTGGGCTATTTATCCACCAATTCTCTTTCTGGTATTGCTTGAGGGTTGCTTCCAAAGACAAGCTGCAGCACTTTTGAATGGCCAAGTGGGTTCTCATTGTCAGGAAGAAACCCTTCGGGCAAAGAGTCTCCAACCTTAGCAATAAGCAACCTTCAACACATAGAGATAAATGCTGAGTACAGAAGGAATTCACCAACAGCTATAGAAATCTGCTATACAAACCCAGCTACAGGTATAAAGACATGGAGTTTTCAAACATTATATCACTGATATAGATCACTGAAATTGTTTGAACAGGTGCTTCTTTTAATTACATGATAAAGTCAATCAACTCATTCCTAGCAAAGAAACAGGTGAATCCCACATGTGTTAGAAATTAACTGTTTAATTTAAAATTATATTATTTCATTAATTTTTATTACCATGTATAAATGATGAACTGGGGCCTGAGAGTACACATATTTATCTATTTCATAAATTCAAAGTCATGTTTAGATTCATGTTGATGCAAAATAAAGTCATTGTTGGAACTTCCAAAAACAACAGTGAAAAGAGGAATATTGTTAGATGTATGTGTGAGCTATTTCTTTGGCTTGCTTCATCAACTTAATATGAATGCATGCTCTTAAATTAGCCCAAAAAAGGCCATGTTTGCTCTTCTCTTTGGGCCATTCCAAATAAGTTCTCTGTGCCATGAGACTTTTGAGCTTGTGATAGCTGCTAGGAATGGAGTAGTTTGGAATGGGTTCCAGCAAGATCAGGATTAAGTTATTAGATCCTTCATGAAAGAGATGGTGGTGGGCAAAGTAGAGTTCATAATGGCACCACTCACTCTGAACGAAGTTGGGAGACAAAACAAAGATGGACTTATAACTTTTCTCAATGCAGTTGATGATATTTTCCACGATGCTCTTGCCAGGAACAAAGTTTCTCTCATGGAGACAAATCCGTATATTTTCTTTTTCTAGGTTTGGTACCAATTCATTTTTCACCCAGGCAGAATCATGTCCACTATATGAAATAAAGACATGGAACTGGAGAGTTCTTTGGAGTTTATCTAAATTTATGTTCCTAGCCCTGTGCCGGGTTTGGGTCCACTGACACACCATCCTGAGATACCAGGGAAGATCAAAGTAGATACAGAGGATGGTCACAATGACAGCGAACACCAGCCCAGTGACCCCAATGGTGACAATCAGCAGGGCTGTGTTGCAGGATAATGGAGACACGTGAAAGTCCTTTAGTAGGGTTCCCCTGTAGCTTTCTGGATAGTCACACTTGTAAGAGTCAGGCCAACCCTCTACCACCTCACTTGCTACTTGGCCTATACTTTGGGTAAATTCTCTCAGCTCACATGTACACCGGAACGGATTGTTCCCTGCTCTTATGGACCTAATCTTCTGGCAGCTCTGGAAGAAATGAGCTGATGGGTTGGAAATTGCATTATAGTCAATGGTCAGTACAGAAAGGCTGCTAAAGCTCCCACATCCGGGAAGGTGGGCTAAAGAATTGGAAGCAACATTGAGTTCTTGCAAAGTATCCAGACTAGTGACATCTGTAGGGATGCTCCTTATCCTGTTATTGTGAAGATCAAGCACCTTGATCCTGGGGGGTAAGCATCTGAAAACAGAGTCTGTAAGTATATTTGAAGACATATTTAAGCTTAATAAACTTATAGTCCAAAAGCAATATCCTTCATTTTCATCATAACTTAGAGAATTCTGGCTAATATCCAGTTGTTGTAGAGACTTCATCTCCTTGGTCATATGAACTATATTTGCAAGTTTTTTTAATCGATTCATTTGTAAACTAAGTGTCTCCAATCTAGCCAAGTTTCCACAATTGCTAAAAACCATGTCTGTTAAGAGATTATTGGAAAAATCCAAATGCAGAAATGGGCTCATTTGGGATGGGCAAACCATGTGCACCATGGGTGTACCAGTCACTGTGAAATTCTGGATGTTCATATTTGAAAAGATTTTATAGATATAACTTTGCGGAAGATGCAATGTATCACTAACAACTTGATGTATAGACAAAGTCTTCATTGAGGTGTTAGAATAATCAAAATCTCTCAAGTCAAGGTGACCTTGTAATTTCACATTTGCAATTGAGAAATACTCTATGCTTGTATGCCAAACCAACTGGAGGATTGTAATGAAAGAATACCAAGTTGTTTCGATGTTATTTAAAGTAAGATTTGATAACCTTGAATTCTTTTGAAGTTTTGACAGCACATTTAGGAAATAAGAACATCCATTATTATGTAGCACACATTTGATATTCGATAGTTCCAGACTTACAGCAGTGCTGATTGACACATCCAAAATAAAGTGGAATTCTTTTCTCGTGGGGAAAACAATGTGTAGACTCTCTGTGTTCAGGTCTTGAAGACTCTCAGCATCTTCTTTTTCCCCATAAGAGTCTCCTAAGACCAGTAAAACCTTATTGATATGCAAATGAGTGATAGGCAGCACACTAGATTTCTGTAGCTGTGTGGCACTCAAACCCAGAAATTGTAGTTGAGACATGTTGCCAAACTCTTTGCATATGGGCAGGAAATCAAATGCATTAAATGAGAGGTCTAAGTGCTTGAGGTTCACAGTTTGGTGGCAAGAAATCTTCTCCAACATATTGTGGGACAAATCCAAGTATTCCAATTCCTGGTTAAATTTGAAAACACTGATATCAAGATACTGGATTCTATTATGAGAAATTATCAAAATCCTCAGCTTTGATAATGATAGAATGTCAGAAGCTGAAAGCTCAGATATATAGTTTTGTGATATATTTAAGATTGTTGTTTTCAAGGATAGGTCTTTGGGAACATGGAGCAGACCTGTTTTTGACCTGTCAACAAAAAAGTCGCTTGCATCAGAAAACTGGATTTTGATCTCAAGTAGTAACATGAAGATGATGGCAAAATGGAAGGTGGTAGAATTAGTTTTAGTCATTTTGTAACACGAACATTCCTAAGGGTAGTTGCTATTCTTCAGAGCATCTTGATACAGATACAGATCCTAGAAAAAAAAATCCACATTAAATGATTGCATTACATTAGGCACAACTGACATTAAACATTTTTTACTAGAGACTCATAAAATGAAGGCTACATTCTTTGGAGTCACAGAACCTGAAACCAGGGAAATACACATACTGATAAAGAATTATACTACCTCTAATAGTGTAATGACTTAAATGGTGCCCCTCCGCACTAACCACCTCCTAGCCATGTTGTTCTCTTCAGAAACTATGAATGTTACCCTATTTGGAAAAACAGTCTTTGCAGAGACAATTAAGGATCTTGAGATGAGATCATTCTGGATTATCCAGGTTTCCCTAAATCTAATGACAATTGTCCTTATAATAAAAAAGGCAGAGGGTTATTTGACAGGGACGGAAAAGGAGACACCAAGAAGAAGTCCATATGAAGACAGGACAGAAGTTGAAGTGATGCAGCCACAAGACAAAGAATGCCAATGGGCATCAGAACCTGGAAGAGGCTCTAGAGCAGCGGTTCTCAACCTGTGGGTCATGACCCCTTTGGGGGTCGAACGACCCTTTCACAGGGGTCGCATAAGACTATCAGAAAACAAAAAGATATTTACATTATGATTCATAACAGTAGCAAAATTACAGTTATAGAGTAGCAACGGAAATAATTTTATGGTTGGGGGTCACCACAACATGAGGAACTGTATACAGGTGGGTTTACATATTCACAAAGTCCTTTGACCCCAACCCTCCCCAAATCATTTACAACTCAAGCTAGGATCCACAGCTGGTATACTTTCTACCTTTGACATGTACTTTCCCATGGCTTTCTTGAGAGCTCCTTTCCCATGTCATTGAATTCAGACACTTCTTACATTACCTTTCATTACCACACATGGTTTGGTTCTTAACTTTGAACTTATTCAAAAGGTAATTAGATCATAATAAACAGTCTCTCAGAAAAGCTATTCATTCATATATTTATTTATTCAATCAGTACTTATTGATAACCTACTGGCCATCTTTTAGAACTGGAGATAAAGCAGTGAACAAGGTAAAGTCTTAATTATCAAGGAGCTTATTATCTAGTGGTTGAATCCATGAATGAGGAATCTGTGGATATGGGAAGGCCAACTGTATTTAGGTCCCTCTGTGCCCACTGAGAGATGTGAAGAGGATATGTGAAAAGGAATTTGACTCTGCTGCCACTGATGGCTTGATTGTTTAATGCAGTTCTAGGATCTTATTTGAAATCCTCCTCACATATCCTCTTCACGTCTCTCAGTGGGCACAGAGGGACCTAAATAAGTTGGCCCTCCCATATCCCCAGATTCCTCATTCATGGATTCAACCAAACATGGATCCAAAAAAAAAATTTTTTTTTCAAAAAATGTTACACTGTTGTTCACATATACTATATAGTTAGGCCTAAGATGGTTGCATCTATACTGAATATGTACAGACAATCTTTTCTTGTCATTATTCCCAAAGCAATAAAGTGTAAAACTATATACACAGAATTTACATTGTATTAGTATAACTAACCTAGAGATGTTTTCAAGTATACAGGAGGATGTGCATAGGTTATATGCAAATGCTACAACATTTTATATGATACTTGAGCATTCAAGGATTTTGGTATCTGAGGGAGGTCCTGGAACCAATCCCCCATGGATTCCAAAGGGCAACTGTAATTCAAGTCCCCAAAACAACCCTGGGTTGCAAAAGTTCCCTAAATTACATACGCAAATGTATCCGGTTTTTGAAACATTGCTTGGACTTACCCTTTTGTAGAGGTGCCCAATGATCCCTTGTTATCCTGATTTCCTCTGACATAGGAGAAGGCCTGGTACTCCCTCAATCATCACTCATGAAGACTCTGTCCAAGGAAGGGGACGCACATTAAAATATATGTTAATAGTAACAGTGGCATTTTTTATGGCATTGATTGTATTTGGCTGACAGTCCCAGAAATTACTCAGTTCTTCCTGTCTAGCTTCCTAAAAAAGGAGAAGTACTTAAATGAGAATCAAAATAGTACCCAGTTTTTGCTGAGCCAGTGCCTAGTATCTCAAAACAGAACTACCTGGTAAACATAACAGGTTAATGTAAAAGTGATTTAGGCTTCAGATTCAAGTGGGGTTCCTTACTGATTCCTAAGCCTGACTCCAAGTCTGGGGAATTTCTCTACCTTCTGGTCAACTCCAGAGTTCAAGAAAGCAGTGATCAGAGCAGTCAGGCATGGGACACAGAGAGTGACAAGAGAGACAAGTGGCAGAGACAGGACTTTCTGCATGGATGGGAGGACTTAGAGCACAGTGAAACCACCACAAACAAGGTGAGCATTATCCTCATTTTCTTAACAACAGTAATCACCACAAAGATTTAAATTTATAAAACTGCCTGTCCCCAAGCATTTGATGAAAGCATGGGCCAGCTTTGTATCTAGAAAAATTAATTGACTCAACTCTCTTCTATTTGTCCAACCTCCATTTTGCCCTTTCATTTATGGTCATTCATTTGATGTCCTCAGTTGAGGAAACCATCTTTATTTATGTAATTAAGAAATCAAACTATTGTACAGATGAGAAACTGAGTTTTAGGGGATCTTTAAATTTTATACCGAACTTGCTAAATCAGTGAAAAATCAATATTTTTTATCAAAGTCCTAATAACTAGCACTGAATCTCATCTATATTAGAACTGCAAAACTATTTTGTTACCACATAGAGTGATTATTGGCTAAGTTGATTGGTAAAAGGATGCTTTAATTTAAAAGTATAAGGTATCTCTAGGTGTGTCTATGTCAATTTTCATGATTATGGTATTTTGCCTTCCCATATATGATACAATGCATCAATGCATTTGAATTGCCATTGTTGGGAGACTTTGGGGGCATCAAATCAGGACTTTGACTTGTCTTAGTGGATGATTCGCACACAATCAATCTAGTCCATTGTGTTCAGTCAGCAAATATTAAATGAATCTTCTTTACACAAAGCCAACTAGCTATTAACCACAGGTTGAAAGGATCAGAACCAGTTCAAGAGCTTTTCTGCTTTGTTTCCTACGTGGTTTTGTGGACTTTTGCTTTTTGTCAAGACACACTCACTTTCAACTCTTTTGATGAAATTGGATGAAGCCTGGAGAACATTTTCGAAATCTACAATCCCACCTGACAAGTAGCACCACAGAACCATTTCAGTGGTCTGAATAACAGAAAATACAATAGCTCATGGGAACAGCCCAGAGAAGCAACTATATAAACCTGTCCATTAAAACAGAGGAGTTGTAGGCAGCACCTCTTCCAGGAGTAATTCACTTACATCCCATTTTCTTCAGCATTCTCACTGCAAAGAGGTGGATGGAGAGGGACGGGATAAAGAGCAATGTCACCTGCAATCAACTAGCAGCCCCATAAGAAAACCATGAGAAAATGTGTGTGACTCAAATATTTATCTTCCAGCTCAAAAATGTCTCTTGAAAACAAATCATGCATGAGATCAGTTGTCATTTAAGAAAAAACAAACACACAAAACCTTTTTCTCTGTCTTAGGACAAGGAGCTGATAAACAAATGCTAGTTGAAGCCCAAGGTAAGCACATGTCAGAAAATGCCCACTTAGCCAGCCGAGTGGCGCGATGGTTAAGAACTGGCTTGGGACGCCAGAGGGCCCCGGTTCGGATCCCACATATGAGGGCCAGTGACACTGCCCTCCACAGNGAAGTCATTATAGTAAGGAGCTTTAGAATTCTATGCAAGCCTTATCTTTTTATACGCTGAGGTGGAAAGACTTCAGGAAACACTATTAAGTGAAGAAAAGTAAGGCGCAGAACAGTTTGGAGAGCGTGACATCATTTGTATAAAATCTGGTCTGCCAGACGTTTACGGGTTGTTCTGAGTACTTTACAAGTATTAACTCACTTAACCCTCATAAAGGTGCTATGAGATAAGTACTATCATTATTCCCACTTAAGGGGGAAGGGAGTGGGAAGCAGTTAGAACATTGTCCAAGGTTGCACTGCTGCTCAGTGGTGGGGCTGGGGTTTGACCCCAGATGTCATCTCTCCCCTGTGTCTGTGTGCTTCAGCATTACACCACGGTGTCTTATAAGACACACAGAGGAAAGACACGAGAGAGAGAGGGCAGGTCTTGAGAAAAGAGAGGCAGAGATTGGGGTTTTGGGGCCACAAGCTAAGAAATGCCTGGAACCACCAGACACTGGTGGCCCCCCCCCAACACTTTAGTTTTGGACTTCTGGCCTCCAGAGCTATGAGAGAATACATTTCTGTTGTTTTAAGCCACCCAGCTAGTGGGAATTTGTTGTGACAACCCAGGAAACTAACATAGGGTCTACGTACATATGTTGATTTATGCATTTTCTTATTTAT